TCATGTCTCTTCAACATTCTAGCTGCTCAAAGAGGAATGGGTTTCTTTTTCTTAAATATGAAGCATCTAGTCAGAGCATGATACTTCATGTGTGCTCTGATGGGCTGACTATAGAGTGCGACCATCATCATCGTTCTTAAGTCAGATGCCGGCATGTTTGATGATGTGACTATTGAAATGCGTGTAACTGTGCCCAGTTGCCCATCACGTGCCGTTGCTTTCTTCTGACTTGTTTTATTTCTAGGTACCCTTAAACTTGTTAGCTCGATGCTTATGATAATAAACAAATTTAAAATCTTTAACTAAAAATCAGAAGAAAGCCAACTTCATTGCAGAGGCAGCACATGAACACACAGAATGATTCTAGAGAGGCTCTACTGGTGGGATGCGGTTAGTGCAGGGCACTTAAATGAGAATACTTTGTGAGGAAGGACTAATTAGTTAAACATATCCTTCCATATGGTGTACAGAAAATAAAGTACTTAAAATGTATACCTCAGCCGGGCATGGTGGTGCACAACTTTAATCCCAGCAATGGAGAGGCAGAGCAGGTGGATCTCTGTGAAACTGAGGCCAGCCTGGACTACATAGTGAGTTCCAGGACAGTTGGAGCTATAACAAGACCATCTCTCTAAAACCAAAAAATATACTTGTGCTCAATGCATATTAATGATAAAGCAACAATATCATTTTATTTACTTATCCCAACACTTCTAATAAATGCTCATTTTTGTACCAAACAAGTAGGAAGGATGATGCTTTCTCTTTGTTTATAAAATGCCATCTAATATATCTAATTTAGACCTCTAACAGTAATAAAATTATCTCTTTAAAAAGATTCCAGTCATACATTTGTCCCAATTTCTTGACAAATTAGAACAAAAAAAGAACAAGTTTCTCCCTTAGTTATTAATTTGCTACGGAGTGATAAAACTCATCACACGTATTTATTTCTGATGTGTTTAGTGTTGCATAATAGTTGAATTAACTTTTTGCTAAAGTGATCATTTCCTCCATGTAAGTCTAAAATTTACTTTCTTACTTGCTTTTTCACTAATTTCAGATAGATTAACTTTTCAAGAAATATAGAAGTTTGGGTCCATCTTTAGTCTTTAAACTAGTTATTTTTACTGACAACATTTCATCAGCACAGAATGGCCTTTTGCAGGCTAGGAGGTTGAGCCAAAACCTCAAAGAATCCACAGCGGAAAGGCTGTGTCACCAGTTCCCCTCCTGGCTTCTTAACTGAGTTAATGAAAGTCACAGGAAGGCAAACCTTTGAAAGAAAATGGTTTTAAACCATTTAGAACTTTTCTATTTAGAAGAAAGAGGTACATGTGTGGAATAGTAACGGTAAGTACACTGTTTGAGAGACTTGGGCCAGTTCCTAAGATGATGATGCACACACACATCTTAGTCACAGCTGGGAATTTACTGAGCCCCACTGGGGTCCAGAGACAGTAACATACATTGTGATTAATTCCGTAGGAGCCCCCATCTAGAAATCTGCTTAGGTAAGGAAGCTGTTCAGTAAACGCTTTAAAAAATTAATTAAAAAATAGTTTTGGGGACTGGAGAGATGGTTCAGCAAGTAAGGGCACTGGCTGTTCTTGCTGAGAACCTGGGTTCAGTTCCCAGCAGCTAACAACTGTCTGCATCTCCAGTGCCAGGGGATCCCATACCCTCTTCTGGACTCTGCAGGCATTGCATGTATGGTCCACTTCCATACATGCAGGCAGACTATTCATACACATAAAAATTAAAAAAAAAAAAACTTTAAGATTCAAAATGTAGCTGAAGGGCTGTGGAGATAGTGCTTGCTGTGCACGCATAAGGATCTGAGTTGGGGTCCCCAGCGTGATGTAAAAGCTGGGTGCTATAGTGTTTTTCATCATTTAGCATGCTTTCATCTCTAAGGTTTCTGTCTGACTTTTTAAAAGTTATTTTTATTTTATGTATATGAGTGCATTACCTTCATATATTTAAGTGCACCCATGTCATGTGATGCTCGCAGAGGTCAGATGCGGGAGCCAAATCCCTTGGAACTGGAATTATGGATGGTTGTTAGCTGCCATGTGGGTGCTGGGAATCGACCCGGGTCCTCTGCAAGAGCAGCCAGTGCTCTTAACTGCTGAACCATCTTTCTAACCCCGTTTGACTTTTTCGGTGTGTATGTTTGTGTATTGTGTTGTGTATATCTGTGTGTGTTCAGGTGTGTGTGCAGGTGTGTTTGGGAGACAGAGGTAAACATCTGGTGTCTTTCCTGAATCACTCTTCATTTTTATTTTTTGACCAGGTTCTCTCATTGAACCTGAAGCTCAATGATTACTAGATGGACTGGCCAAAGAGCTTGAGAGATGGCCTGTCTCCTACAACTCCCTACACTGGGGTTGCAGATGTGTGCTGCCACATCTGCCTTTTTATAAATGCTCTGAGAATCCAAACTCAGGTCTGCAGGCTTGCATGGCACTGCAAGCATTTTACTGATGAGCCATCTCTGCAGCCCCATCTCTTTGATTTTTTTTTTCAAAAAGAATCAGTTTTTTGTTGAACATATAACTTAGCTCAGTTACAGAAATCACAGAGGTTAGGAAAATTTGTCTTTAAATTTTTCAAAGATAACTCAAACATACCAGTTCTCGTCAAATTCTTCCAGCCAGGGAGTTGAAAAGTGTGCTTTGTGGAATTCTGTCACACGTTTCCTGAAAAGTATGTGGAATCAGCATAATTTGGCTTTTGGAAACATTGGAATCTATGTATGGTGAAACTGTAATTATCTTCAGTGCTAAAGCCAGTTTAGCACAGTCACTTGGAGATGTTATTACCACGGCTGACACAGCAGATGTGTAGTGAAGCCTGTATTGTCTTGGCTCATCTGGGGGAGCGTTTGTGACTTAGACCATACCTATTTATGTCTTGGTGCCACTAATATCTAAAAATGCCTTAGCTTGCAAAGCTGCAATGGGAAAACAGTTCGCATTTTATTGCATTCTGAGTAATCTTTCTCTTGCCATGAAAATCTATTAAATTGGCATTAAATCAGTGACTTGATGGGAGTCCAGAAACAGTATGAACATCTGATGAAATTATCTGAATTATAAGATTAATGATTAATTCAGAGACTCTACACATAAACTATTGAATCGGACTTCTTTTGCCTTAGTGTGAAAATCAAATAATAAAAAATAAAAAACTTAAGCTTTCTATTCTACTCCAAGACCTTTATGAAGCATTTGGACAAAAAAAAAATAGGAAGAAAAAGAAAAGCTCAGTGAAACCTTTTTCACATTCCTCTGCAAAATGAAAATCCTCTAGCATGAAAAGCCCAGATGTGTTGGTGCTCTGTAGCTACATGTCCAGATGGCTCTACTCAGTATTCACCTAGAGGGTCTGGAGTCACATTCTGCAACATGGCTGCTTTCTCTCTCAGAGAAAACTTAACTTGTCTGATAAATTTATAGATTGTTTCTCTATATTTTCTTAAAGTTCATTGAGTTTCCTTAAAACAGGCATTTCAACTTCTTTGAGAGTTCACACATCATTTACTTAATGGTTAGTTTCTGGTGTATTGTGTTAAGTGAGATTTTTGGTTTCCTGAGGTTCTTGATGCTTGATGGTATCGGTTTGTCATCCATACATTGATTAGGCATTTACTCCAGTCATCATAATCTGGCTTTGACTGTGATCTTCTTTCTAGAAATAAATTCTAAACATGCTGGGTATTACTCTCTGAGCCTGTAGCTAAGACCCTATGATCAGGTTTGCCCCCAGTTGCTGCTGGTGTATGGCCACCCCTTTCCAGCACTAGAGCCTCCTTACATTCTAGTTTGTCACGTATCTGCCATGTGTTGTTCAGGATACACTAGGGGTGTGCCTAGAAAGGGTGGTCGTTTTCTGAAAGCTTCTACGTGAGGTCAGAGCAGGCACTGATGCCTCATCCTGCAGTGGCCTGTAGTCAGGTATCATGGGTGCCTACAGAGAGCAGTACAACACATGGTCAGGACCAAGGCCCATGCACTAGGATTTGTCTATTGTTGTGATCTCTCTAGACCAAGATCACTGCAGCTGGCTAGAGGTTATACAGGCTAAAATACAAGCCTGTTCCCTTGTGGCCTTAGGTTTCTTCTTGGTGCCAGAGCAGATTCATTCAGGGTCTTGGTCTAAGGGCAGTGACTGGAGAGTAGTGATCATGGGTTTCTCAGTGATAGACTTGGTACCGGAGGCCAAATCCAAAGTCTGTACATAATTCTGTGTCCTCCCCTCAAGTGAGCAGGCATTTCTACATTCTAGTGATGCTTAGAGTTGATAGAGAATAACAACAGTGGTTAACCCTATCCCTCCCTCCCTCCCTCCCTCCCTCCCTTCCTCAGTGAATCCTATTATTATACTAAAATCAACAACTGTGGTCTCTCAGAGTTTCTTTTAACTTTTTGAGAGTGCTTTTGAGTGTGAATAATGGTTCAAATCAATGTTTCTGCTGAGATTGAGTCACTGAAGGGTCTCACTCCACTATTGTGTGCCACTCCTTCCTTAGTGAAAATACTCTTAATTTGCTATTATGGGATGCCCCTAACAGAAGCAATCTTTGATATTAAACAATATTTCAAGAGTAATTAGTTATTATAATTCTGTTCTTTTTACAACAGCTATTACACACACACACACACACACACGCACACACACACACGAGATCTAGTATGTCAGAACCAACTACTGACTCATAAAATCCTTTTGGTACATTTTCAGGAGTTTTGGACATCTCTTGATACCAGACAAGTGACTTGAAACTTGTTATGGTGACATTATTTACCATAAAATTGGCAAATATCTAAAATCAATGCCTTTCCCTCTTTCTTCAGGAAAGAGGTTATGAAGCACAAGTTTGCTGATATCTCCTGTATTTATGTTAATAAGGAAAGGGACTATTATCTTTGAGGATGGCATTTGTATGAAAGTTCACATGAGGAAAAGGTAATCTAATCTTTCCCCTGCATTTTCAGGGATACGGAAAGACAGAAGAGGGGGGAGAATGTTGAAACACAAGCGTCAGAGAGATGACTTGGAAGGCAGAAACGAAATGGGGCCCTCAGGCAACATGAGAGCAGCCAACCTTTGGCCGAGCCCGCTCATGATCAAGCACACTAAGAAGACCAGCCCAGCCTTGTCCTTGACAGCAGATCAGATGGTCAGTGCCTTGTTGGATGCTGAACCCCCCTTAATCTATTCTGAGTATGATCCTTCTAGACCCTTCAGTGAAGCTTCGATGATGGGCTTATTGACCAATCTGGCAGACAGGGAGCTGGTTCATATGATCAACTGGGCGAAGCGAGTGCCAGGTAAGAACGCTAAGCTCAACTTCTATTTTAAGAGTCAGTAACTTTTCAAGAATTGGTTGTGGCATCATGGGAAAGATAGTGGGAGCTAAAGAAACAATAGTTTGTTATATGATTAATTTCAAGGCAACATTAAGATCTGTTAACTTTCAATATTGACACACTGTGTATCTCCTGAAACTTATGAAGTAACATTTTAAAATAAAAACCCAGAAGAGTAAAGTCTTTAATATAACTTAACTGATCTTATTTGCTGACAAGATTTGAGTAGATGCTGCATACCACATGTACATATGGATGTAGCATATGTGCTTATAGATCACATATTGGAAGTATTTAATCCTAACAATTCACAGTTTTGGTTTTCTCAGACTATTATTCAGAACACCTCTATTAATAAATCATTTTTCCATAAAAAATATTTTCTTCAAATATTGTTGTGAACTAAAGGGCTAACAATAGGTCTATTTGCTGAATGCCAGTTGCTTATCTGACGTGGTTTATGTACAGTGTGTTCAGAGGAGGGAGAGTCCAATAGAAGGGACGTGGGGACCACCATCCCTGACAGGAGCTTGTGGATGATCCAGCAACCGAAGTGACACTTGGCTCTTCTGTTGATTCTCCTAAGTGCTGTTTCTATAGCACTTGATGCTGCTCTTGTTTAGGAAAGACTCTAGTTGTGATGGAAATAAGACTCTCCTGTTCCCCAGCTAGTGGATTACACATATCTGGAAGCCTGTGCCAAGGCAGGAGGAACTGGCCTTTCTTTTCTGGCTTACTGATCTACTCAGGGATGGGTTTAGATATTTTCTCATTTGCTTTCTTTTAGTAGATGAAGTTATTGCCTCTGGCACATGAGTTTTTTTTTTTAATGAAACTAAAGTACAAATGGAGTTTTGTACCTGTATTTCCAGGATCACTGACATAGGCTGAGTGAAAGTGTATCAGGTGATAGAGAATTTTACATGTATTTGCATAAATCCACTTATAAGCATGTGGTTCTTTGAATAAAGAGCCAGTGCAGTGATCCAAACTTATTACAGACATCTATTTAGGTGGTTTGGATGGTAGAGATGGGATTATATGGAAGAATAAGATAAACAGACAAATATAAGTTTTAAGGATCAATTTAACCAGAAAACAAACTCTTGGCCATCTTTGAGCTAAAAGTTATATTCATCTCTGAGATACTTTAGTATTATTTGTGAGACAGATACAAATACATTAGAACCTGAATCACATGGAACTATAGGTTTTTCCTTGAACTTATGTTTATTTTATCTGTTTTTATAATTTGCAAGAAAAGAATAAGCAAATACATAAAATCAATGGCCATACCCCTGACAGCAAATTCTTGGTTGCCATTAAGTTTTTATTATTCTATAAAGAAAGATTCTTCCTTATGAAATCTTGGCAATTTACTTCTAGAGTATTACCTAACTCAGGTATATATTTTTCATGTTTGCCAGTAGATTCCCATTTTTACATTTTTATAATTTTTTGATGACTTTTTGAGACAGGGTTTTGCTATATAGCCCAGCCCAGGCTAGCTTTGAACTTGTGATCCTTCTGCCTCAGCCTCCCAAGTGATAGGATTACAGGCATGCAGCATCATGGCTGGCTTTTATACTTACCCAAATGTAAAAAGCATTTGAAAGAACTGGAATTAAGTTCAAATGTATTACCAGTAGATGAAGAATTCATGAGCATAATTTTCTGAATTTAGGATTAAAATGGAGACAGATGTCTAGGGAAGGAAAACTCTGTGTCTGTGTTTAGCTATCACAATGTTAAACTCAGAACTAGACATGTTTATGGTAATAACATATTTAGCGAAACTACTCTCAAACTTCATTATGCTAATTTAAGTGTCCAAAATCCTTGGATTAAACAATATTGTTACATGATCCTTTATAAAAAAGAATTAATTCCGAAGGCAAAAATGAAATTATGTAGTCATGTGCTATGTAACATTTTGTTTAGCAACAGACCTCTTAAGTGATGGTGACCCTAAAGGATTATATGGACTAGTGATGCTCACAGAAGGCTAAAATTTCCAAGGGATGCATTCCTTTGAATGTTTCCCTATTGTTAAGTGACACAGGCTCTGTGTATGTGTTCATCTGTGTGCCTCTGGAATATAGCTATTGTAAGTCAAAAGCCTACTTGTCTGAGGAAGCAGAATGGAAATGGTCATTGATGTAAAAGGAATGAAAGCCTTTTTCAAATACAGCTTTTTCTGAAAAATTTTACAGTCATCTTCAGAACTCTTCCAGAAGACCCTCTTTCTGCTCTTGTCTGTCATTTATAACTTTCATTTTAAAAATAGCTTATACTAAAGAGCCAATATAGACAATGTCCTAACTATAAGGTGATGATTTGGGACTAATAATAGTGGTAATTTTAAAAAGGGAGTAGGAGACATAGTAGGGAGAATAGTAAAGGAGCTGTTTCTCAATGTGTGTGGAATGAGGTATGTGACAGATGAATCTGTGTGGGGCGTTTGTATAATCCTCAGACTGACCACCAATATAACGGTGTGAATTCACTTTATTTTGAATGATGAATTTTAACAAACATAGTCAATATTTGGGGCTATTTAATGGTTTTAGAAGTTTTCTTTTCTAATAGAATATTATTAGAATTCTCAAGTGTTGATGGATAAAACAGAATTTTCTTTTGTCTTAACATCTGGCCATGTTTTCTGCCTTAATATGTGAGAATTAAGATGTGAGAATATTTAAAATAAAATATAATTGTGATAGTCAAGTTTCCACCTACAAAGAACTTATATTGGACCCAGCTAAAGGTGTCTAGAAGGAATTCATGTTTCCCTTTGAAATTTGTAAAGAACAGCAGCAGGAAGAGTAGGGGCCCCGAGCCCCCCAGCTTTGCAGGAGCCCTCCAGCCCTTCAGGAATGCTTTTTACAATACATCCTGTTTTTACATCTTAATGTCTTGCTATAGAGATTTGTACCTTATTGTTTGCTCTGTAGCTCTGTAATTTGTTAATATCTGATAGGCATTTTCTAGTATAACCATGGATGGAGATTTACTTTTTAACTTATTCTTTGAAGATTTCATGCATGTATACAATGTATCTTGATCATATCCACCACTCATTTCCCCTCCAACTCCTCCTAGGACCCTCCCATCACATCTCCCTTCCAACTTCATGTCCCTTTAATTAATTAATTAATTAATTAATTGATTGATTGATTAATTGATTGATTATTTTAACCCACTGAACCAAATCAGTGTTCCCGATATACACATGGATGAGGGGTTATTTGCTGGGGCACAGTCACACTCATAATGAAAAGTGACTCTTCCTCCTCCAGGAGCTAGCCATCAGTTGCTAATAACGCCTTAGCTACGGTTGGGGCCTCAGGAGCTGCTTACACTTCCGTGCTGGAATTTTTAACTGGCTTGATCTGCACTGATCTTGTCTAGGTAACCACAACTGCTGTGAGTTCATGTGTCCACAGTTATGTCATTTTGATTTATGAAAAATTTAAACCATTTTCAAAATTCACAGTAATTTTACATACCTCAAAAGTAATTTCATTCCTTAAGTTTGTGTTCTAGCTGTCTATTTTGAATCAAGATTTAGGAAGATATGTAGGTTTTTAAAGACTGGTACCAGAAATCTGATGGCCTCATGGACCATTGGGCATAGGCCTGGGAGGTAGGCTAGAGGTCTGACCAGGAAGGGGAATGAGGGAGAAATGACTTGGAGTTTGGTTTTATGAAAGACATGCAGCCTTAACTACTTCCTCTTTCTCTTAGTGGCACACTTTCCATCCTTTCTCTTCCCTGCTGGCCCTCTCTGTGCTATGGTATAGGAGCTCCTCCTCTTCAGTCCTGACTCCCCACCATTGGGCTTTGGGTCCCCTACTTGCTCCCTTTGCCCCCAGAGGGAGAGGATCTTTTTTTGATACACACCTCCTATGAGCCCCACACTTGGTTGCTCAGCAGTTTCTGTGCCATCTCCGAGGGAGCATGGTTGGCAGGACCATCCTGGGGCTCAGAAATTCTGTTCCTGTATCCCAGGGAATCCAGTGATCAGCATCCCTGGCCCCTAATACTTACCCTCACAATTCAAATTGGTAATCAACTGAATTCTGGAAAGGAGTGAATAAATGAATAAATGAAAGGTGACTTTGGAACTGGCTGATTTTATAAAATCCAAGTCCCATTTAGAACTCAATTTTCCCACCTACTAAGACTGGTCCTTAGGCTGTGATGATCCTCTCCTCTCTTCAGAGTCTACCTGCTATTCTGGCATTTCTGTGACAGTCTTAGCAGGGTTCCATTCCCAACCTTTCTTCCTGTAGAAGGAGAGGGATATCCAGAAGAGAGTACAGACGTGTGCTCTGAGGACTGGGATAGGCTTCAGTTGTCTGTCTGTAGGGAAGGAGCACTTTAGTGAGTGTAGCTAAAGTGGGTAAGGACAAGGAGCAGAGAAAGGACACAGCACCTCTATCCTGGAATTGGGAGCAAGCAGTACATTCTATTTGGGGAGGTTCCTGTGCATTCCAGGGACTTGGCAAGATACCTCGGTATCTGTTTCCCAATTATAATCAGAGCAGCAGAGCCTGTCCTCAGGCTTTTCTGGTGTTCCAGCATGCTAGGATCCAGCATGGTGATTTAAGAGAACATGGCTGAAAGTGTGGGTGATACCCTGAAGCGGTGCATGCCGTATTTAAGGCAAGACTTGCCTAGAATTTGAAAGTATTCTGCTGAGAGGCCAGTACTAGGACCCCATCTCCTCAGTATTGGTATTGGCACTCTGGGCTGCTGTGCACCGGGCTGCAGTGCATTGGAATGCAGTGCACAACCTCATCTGGAATATTCATTCCCAGTCAGTCCTGCCCAACTTCCCACTGTTCTTCAGAAAGCTCCGGGTAAATCTCGAGGAACACGGCTACTTGTCTGATTTACCTTTCATATAAAAACTCTGACACCCTTAGATATTTGAGGACCAGATGTATTAAGGCCTT